CTGTATCAGGCAATGTCGTTCCATGACGCCTTGCAGTTTTCCAGAATGACGAGTGTGCGGAATGTCTCAGCCATCCCGTTGAGAGGTCGGCGGCATTGAGCAACTATTTTTGAAGTCAGCGACATAAATATTTCCCAGATATTTAATTGCCGCCTGGCTGTCAGTGAAGATGTAGACATCATGACTAGGAATCGTATCACACTGCGGCCTCTGAGATAGTCATCAGTTCCGCCTGAAAAATACTGCAGTGAGGCGGAAACTGAACGATATGCCTAACTGTTCGTAATACATCCCATCACCAACTCTTTTTTCGAGCTTTGATTCGTCCGTATAGACATGGATTGATCCTCTTGTCCTGACTGTGTTCATTGACCATTGCTCCTCCAACAGAGGATTAGCAGGAGCATAATTTCCCATTCGGCCACTAAGAACATCCGCATTGGCACCATTGGACTTCTTTATGAGGCCACTCGGATGACCGTCATTATGTGAATAAACCTTAAACTTTGGAGCACTTTAAAATCAACATTTGTCCAGTTATGGTCAACATACATACATACACATGTCAACAAGTGACCGAAAATATCGCAAAAATTCAACGCTTGAAGGCAGTCCTGAAGGCTTTAGACTCACGAATAGACAAAAGGAAGTCCACCACTGAACTCCGTAGCTTTTTGAACGAGAACATACATATTTACATAGAATTCTACACATATGGTTGCCGGGGTACCCGGGAATATTGATGGCGATTGCAAAGCTGGCGAACTGACAAGGAAAGATACGCCCACCCAAAACCTTCCGGGAAAGGACACGGTAGATATACATAGCAATAGCCACTTGCAAGCAGTTTGTTAGAGATCACCGGAACTTGCGTTGTACTCATGGCGTCCGTAATACATATACACACACTCCTTTGTAGCCTGTTTAACATAGAAACCATGGCTTTGACTATGGCTTTGACCCCGGTCTTACTAAAAGTTCTTCGAAACTGTCCAAAAACTTTGAGTCAGGAGGCTGTGTTCCCAAAACAACATTCACAGATCGGGAGTTGTATAAGTCGAAACCTGCGAATGCCGTTTATTGCCTGTCGGTACACTGTCGGGTGAAAAGGTTGTTTTATGGGCCGCAAGCTCGTATAGATGCTTTCTGACGTGCCCAGGCGAGGCTCTGCAGCCAGCAGGTGTCTATTTGGGTGGCCGCATCTGTGGCACCCTGCTAGGAACTGCTTACATAGCATGGTGTTGAGCTTTTTGACGGAGAGCATTTGGTGTTCGTCATGCAGGTGGTGCTCTGGCGACATCAGAAGGCATCCCGTGGCGGTCCGCAGTACCGTGTTTTGGCAGATCTGTTCGTTCATCCACTGCGTCCTGTTAGTCTCCGGCGACGTCAGGAACACTGCATAGTTTAGAACCAGCCGGCCAATTCGCTTATATGTTGCCAACGTTTCTTTGTATTTTTCGCCGGCTAGCGGCTTTATGACCTTTATTGACAATCGCGGTTGTATGCGCTGAGAACGAGCAGACTATCGAAGGTAAGTCCGGGTATTTTTTGGGTTATTTACCATAGGAATTGATTTGCCATCGACGTGAATTCCCAGCTGTAGTCTGTCCTCCTTCGTCCAGGTAGTAAAACGGATTGCCGAAAGTTTCGTAGGGGAAAGCGATAGACTGCTTGCAGTGAAGAAGAGAGAAAAAGTTCGGAAAGGTAACCGTTTACTTTCGAGCAGAGGTCATCAATTCCATTGCCGGTCATCAGCATAAGAGAAAATACAGACTCCAGACAGAACCTGAGAAAGGACACAACATTGTGGGACCCTCCATTAATTTTTCTTGGTTTGCTTGTTTGAAAATTACCGACGTGTGGCGACCACTCAGATAATTCGCCGATCACCGTTTGAGTCCCCTGGTGTCAAACGCCTTGGACAGATTCAAGGCTACTAGGATTGTTCTTCCCCAAGGGGTGGTTACGCTTAAGGCCACGAGTTATCTGAGCGTTAAGTGCTGTTGTTGTGCTGTGCACTTTACGGAAGCCATCTGATGAGGTGGTTCGTATAGTGAGGGTATAGCAAGGCCTCTAGTGTCTTCACAACCGGGGAAAGGAGAGTTATCGGCCGATGAGACTACTTTGTTGATCGGTTTCCCGGTTTTAGTCACCGAGTATATTTCTGCCATCAAAAACAGCTTCCAATAAAGATACGGACGCCATTCGAAGTGGGCATAAAACTGTACGTCCAATCATTTGTGTAACAACATCAAGACGCACGCCACAAATCGGAGGAAAAGCTCGGCCAGACTTGGCCACTCACATATTGTGCAAGCACCAATCTATATAGAGTAGATATTACACCGTGAGACAGTAAATTTTACACACACAAAAAACTAATATATTCGCGAAACTATGGGTAAATTATAGTAAAACTGCGTACTTAGTTTTCCTCTCTGACGTCAGGATTTTTTTTAAGGACTTTGAAATTAAAAAAATTTAATTATTTCAAAAAATTATTTATAAAATTTGGTGCAATGTAGGATAAATAATAAGGGTATCATATAAAAGAAAAAATTCTGTAAAATTATAACAGAATATTTTAGTGCATAAGGACGAATGGGTATGGAAAATGTCCTTTACAAATTTTGTACTTAAATATCCTTGAAAATTTGCAATATTTTTTTTTTTTGAAAAAATTATTGTTTGAGGACTAATATGCGCACCACCTCATCATCTAATTTCGTCCTGCAAATCGCATTTTCAATGCCTATTCGTCCTTGAAAACCAAAAAACTTGATTGTTTTTTAATTCCACACAATTTTCTCTCATTTGGTGCCCACATAGTTATTCTACATAGCACTGATTTTTCAAATACATAATTTTTTGAATCAATCATATCTTTACATTCGGATTTTGGTCACGAGCGGGTGTGGTATGGTCGCGTCTGTTCGCTTATAGTTCGCAGTTATCCCACTTTTTGTGCTTGTGAGAATTTTCTAGTGTTTTTTGACAAAGGCTTTTTGTGTGGGCCGCGCTAATTTATAAACTTTACTTCTATACTTAAATTAACTCGGTCATCGCGAAAATTATAATTAGTGTTAACAAACTCAGATGAGTGGTCCTGGCTAAATTTTTTATTGTCATATTTTTCTTGGATTGAGGGAAAAAAGATTGCCTCAGGTTGCCGGCAAAAAAGAAAAAGAAGCTGCCGTTTAAGGCACACTCTAGCAAAATGGCGTCACCGACACGAAAGTCGGTGGCGTCTTTTGTGAAAAATGCCACTAGTGGCACATCCAAAAAAGCTAAAATAACTGAAAGCGAGGATGTCACTGGCTTTTACGAGCTGTCCAAGGATGGTCTTGTAAGAATCTGTGAGGACTCCTTAGCAGATAATAATGCAAATAATATTGATACGACAGTGGACTGTGATTTGAGGTTGGGGTCAGTAGGCAGTGAAGGTTCAGTGGTATCAAATACAGTTAGTGCTAATATGACAAAAGAGCGCGATAATAAGCAAGATGGTGGTTTAGTCTCCTACCCACAGCATTTTCGCGGTGAAATTTTTGTGCTGGTTGACTCTTCGGCCAGTACAGTTATGAACAATAATAAATTGACGACAGGTCTAGAGCTTTTCAGCCAAATCAAAGACTTGAGATTTAAGGATATGGATCTCATCCATGCGGTTGGCAGGTCACTCTACAAGGTGACTTTTACAAGCACGTACTCTGCAAACACCTTTTTATTTGATACACGTATTGTGAAGCGTGGTTTAAGGGCGTTCGTTCCTCGGACAGCACTCGAGTGCTACGGGGTCATCAGAGGTGTACCCACGTGTTTTAGTGAGCAGGAGATTGCCAAGGAAGCAATTAGTAATATTCCAATAGCATCAGTTAGGCGCTTCACGCCCAAAGATGAAGCTAATAGCACTTATGTCCCCACTACTACTTTAAAAATTGGGTTTGAAGGTAATGAAATCCCAAAGACCATTGTTTACAACTACACCAAACTGACTGTTGAATACTTCGTACCATCCCTGAGGCAGTGCGACAACTGCGGAAGGCTAGGGCACACCAAACTCTCGTGCAAAAGTAAGGCTAGATGTTTGAAGTGCGGCAACCCAGAGTGTAAGGACGCAGACTGTAGAGACAAATCATGCATATTGTGCGGTAAAACTGGGCATACTGCCAAAGACAAAAATATCTGCCCCCAATGGGAGAAAGAACAAATGATAAATCGAATTAAAACAGTCAAAAAAATGTCCCGTAAAGAGGTCTTGGATCAATATTACCCCAAGACGAGCAATCGCTTTCACATATTAGATTCTGATGAGACCAGCTTTCCTCATCTTAACAGTAACCCAAGTGAGGTGGTTGATGCATATAAACAAAAATTTTACCAAGAAATCATATAGCTATGTGACCAAAAAACAAACTCCCAAAGAAACCAAACCCCTTAGCAGAGCACCCCGTAGACCCCCTGCGCTGATAAATCCGGTGTACAATTCCCCGGAATACCAAAAAGGTATAGTGACAGAAATTGAGCGGCTAATGGCCGAAGTGATCAAAATCACCCAAAAAATGTCTATCGAAAATAGTGACACGCAAACCTTTAACGACATCCAATCAGTAAAAAACAAATTTGAACGTATTTCAAATCAAAGGGATGAGATAGAAATTTCAAACTCCTTCACTAGCAATGAAGATCCTGCAATGTAATTGCCAATCATTAAAAGCAAACCTTGACACTATTGAGTACTACCCAAGGCACATTAAACAGGTAGTATCAGTAGAGCAAAAACAACATTTGCGTGTATTTTGTTGTTGCTTCTGGTATCGAAAGTGTCAAAAACTGTTCTGAATTTTTTCTTCTAAATCAAAGCGTGCCATGTGAAATACAAAAATTATAAAAAATAAAAAATTGAAATTGGAAAAAATAAAAATTGATGCAACTTTCTTTCCTAGTAAATTTGTTTGCTTCTCGAAGCATTGATCCATCCTTTACAAGGGCCAGTAATCAGCGGTTGTGCTGCTGAGTTGGGCGAACGTTCCAAAAGCTGCTATTCAATCGCTTGTTTTGTATGGAAAAAGGTTTCACATGCAAATGGATTTTAACAATTCAGAATTTTTGTGAGAAAAAATTAAAAATATTTGACATTTTCGAGACCAAATAATTTGAAAATAAATCAAATCAATGTTCAATGTACCTTGGTACTACCTAAACAAATACAATTTTGACTTAGCATGCTTTAACGAAACCTTTTTGTCCAACACCACCCATCATAGAAAAATTGTAAACTATAGTTTAATCAAAAAATGTCGTAGCGATGCCATCAAGCATGACGTTAAATTTAAAAAACTTGCTTACAACTCCGAGTATGATGTTTTGATGATCCAAACCAAAAACCTTAACCCAAACATTACAATTTGCAATATATATTTTCCACCCAGAATTAATATAAATGATTTCAATAATGAAATAACCAGGATTTTAAATTTTTTAGAGGCACATAGAAATATATTCTTAGTAGGTGACTTTAATGCCAGAGCAACCCGGTGGGGCGATAGAGTTGACTCAAGCAGAGGCAGGCACCTCATCAGACACATTCAGCAATCATCTTTGCGATGCTTAAATAGTGGGGACCATACGTTCAAAACGGATATTCGGTCGGAAAATGGCTCAGTGCTTGATCTGGCTTTTAGCAATTGTGGCTTGTCATGTGACTGGAGTGTTGATTCCACCAGGATTGGGGGTAGTCATCACTTTCCCATCTCCATTGAAATCAAGGAATTAAGCAAAAATGTTACTAAATTTTTAGCAAAGAAAAAGTTATGTGAATCCCTTAAAGAATTGGTATGTGAATCCAACATACATGACTTTGAAAGCAAAGTACAAGAAGAGATCAAAAGAGCCACTTACGTAACAAGTGGAAATCGAACCCCCAAACCCTGGTGGAATAAGGAAGTTGACAAAGCGTATAGATTCTTCCGGAAAGAGAATTTCAGACTCATATCGCTCATTTCAGTTATGTTAAAAATAGTAAATAGTGTTACTAAAGAAAGACTATACGAATTTGTGGAGTCAAACTGCATCCTACCAAATAACACCTTTGCGTACAGGAAGAACAAATCGACAGCGATGTGCATTAATCACATGCTACACCAAATTGGGGTTCTCAGAGGCAACAGAAAGCAGGTAATTTTGTGCTCCACAGATGTATCAAACGCGTATAATTGCGTCAACATTCATACCCTTCAACAAATATTTGTAGACCTGAAAGTAGAGAAACTCTATATTGACTGGATAATAAATTTTTTGGCTAGCAGGACTTTAAAACTAGGAAACAGTACGGTCGAAATTAGTAATGGGCTACCGCAAGGAAGTGTACTATCACCAATCCTCTTTAATATTTATACGAAACGGCTACACAATCTATCTGACTCTAATATGCAAATATACCAGTTCGCTGACGACTTTTTCTTTGTATCATCTGGCAATAGTTTTCCCGAGGCTAACAGCAACCTCCAGGCAAAACTAGATAACTTCATTGAAATCTGCAGCCAACTACAACTAAGTTTTAACCCAAGCAAAACTAAAGTTATGCATGTTAGCAGAGGACCAAAAAAGGAAATTAATGTCACTATCGGCCAGACTAGATTGCTACAAGTTAATGAAATTAAAGCACTGGGTAGAGTAGTAAACAGCTCTCTGACCATGAGTAGTCACTACCAAACCACCATAGAGGCAACGTCCAACAATATCAAGTTTTTCAAATACCTAACAAATGTCAAATCTGGCCTACATCCTCAGAAAGCCATGAACATATACAAAAGTCTGGTCAGGTCTAAAATTGAGTATGGATACACCACTGCTGCTAATGGTGCCAAATCTGCCTCCAAAAAAATATTCACTCTACAAAACAAATTTCTCAGAAGATGCTTGGGTTTAACGCCCTCTACCCCTATTCCCACCATGTATGCACTGGCCAATGAACTGCCTCCTGCAGAGAGGTCAATATGGCTTGCAGCGAAAGAACTGGCTAAAATGTTTGCGGTTAATGACCCCATAGTTGCTTCGGTTAGATCCAGCCCCCCTGTGAACTCCAGTTACTCCTTCACATATAACAAATTCAGGCAAATTTTCGATCGGCTCGAACCTGTGGGGGATCACCCCACCTCCACCAACTGTGAAATAATCGACAGCGCTTTCCCTGGCCTCAAGGCCACAATGACTGCTGAATGTGCCAATGATCACTTCTCTAGGATGCTCAACAATTACAAGGAGAGGAGGTTTAACATCATGTTCACCGATGCATCGCTCTCTGACAGTAGGACTGGTTGTGGCATATATAATTACAACTGTGACACTGAAACTTCATTCCACCTACCCTTTAAGTCGTCCACAGCCTTTGGGGAACTCTTGGCCATTGAAGAGGCAATTAATATCGCCTCCAATAATAACTACCGCAAATTAGTAATTTTTACTGACAGCCGTGTGTCGTGCCAAACCCTTAAAAACCCTAACTCACTCAATAGCATCGCTAGTAGAATCCTACGAAAAGTCCACCTAGCTGCTTTCGACAGTATCCACATTGTATGGATACCCAGTCACAAAGGTATTCCGGGGAATGAAAGGGTAGACAGCATTGCCAAAAAGGCAATTGACAATAGCAGTTGTAAAGACTACTTATATACAACCGACGAAGCTATCAAGCAGATAAAAGAAGCTCTGTATAATGAATGGTATGCCGGTTTTTGTGTGGTCAAGCTGATGGATACGTCCATCAGACCTTCCACTGCAGGCGGCACTCGACGGTTCGTGACAAAAATCTAGCCAAGATAACTCAACTGGTTAACTTTTTACAAAAAGCCAATATCGTCTTTTAACTTTTATGTTTAATGTATCTTTTGTTTAAAACCACATATGTATATGTATAGTACTGGTGTTGTAACTAGTACATTCGTTTCCATGTATCTATTATTTATACCGTCTCCACCTCGCTCAAACCTTTTCAATCCGCTCGTTGGCGCGTCAAGCCGCCATATACAATGTTAACAAAAGCCGCCCCTAAACTACAAACTGTTCAAGCGATTTCGGCACGCCCAGTGTAATCGTTTCAACAAGCCGTCTAACGTGTCCCAACCGTCACCTTCGTTCAATTCGTAATACGTACTGACTTTCAACCACACCAGTCAGGAGATAACATACACGGAGGAACGACCTGGAGTATGCGGTCCTAACTCTTAGGAACTGGCCAATAATCCAAAACCCAAAAAAAAAAATCATATCTTTAAAATTTTCAAAGCCAAAAATCCTGACGCCAGAGTGAGAAACTAAAAACGCAGTTTTACTATATTTGGCACATAGTTGCGTGATTATATAGATTTTTTCGTGTGTTTTGAATTCTTTTTGTTTTTGTCGCACGGTGTTATTCGTATAATTCAGTTAAAAGTCATAAGCCACAACTATGTATGCCAAAGCATATAAAAATTAAAACACAAAATTTTTGCGGTTTTTCTTATCCCGTTTTTTTTTTGTATTTTTTTTCTTTTATTTCACTTAAATTAAGTATATTTATTTCAATCTACACAGTTGGTTTAGTTTATTATAGGTATTTTTTTGGGTGCCTATCGCGATTTTTTCTCTTTAATATGTACGTATGTATTTACTAAGTATGTATGTATATACAAATAGGTAAATTAAAAAATTGTATCGGCTATTAATTGATTTATTATATATGTATGTATATAATATATTTATATGGTATTGTAGTAAGTGGATAATACAAAAAAAACTAATCAATTCTATGTGTCGCCTTTCAGCATTTTTAACACGCGATAATAAAAATGTTTTTTTATAAAAAAAGATAAGCGCATATTCTTATTACTTTAATATTACTTTACACGAAAACGCATGTGAAATAAACAAAAAACAATAATCGTTTGCTACAATGTATTAATTTGAGTTTACAGCCGTAATTCCAAAAAAAAAAAATGTAATTTTCTTGTTTTTTGCCCTAGACTGCGATATTTTGGTTTTATAATTTTCAATTCAAATAAAAAGCGCGTTTTAAAACACGAATAATCGAAATTAAAACAATAAATATTATGTTAGCAGCGAGCGCGATTATGAAGCGTGGTAACTTCACTTTATTACACTATGTGTGGAATTATAGTCGCAAAGGACGAACACATCAAATTGAACAATATATCTTAAACGCTAAGTTTTTATTGACTTATGTCTAATACCTTCTCATTTTGTTAATAAATTAAAAAATTTACAACTTTACATTGGATAATTTGAAGCATTAACTTTAAACTGCCAGCTATCGAAGGATAATAAAATGATGCGAAATAAAATAACACAAAAATAATAGCTGTGGAAAAAACAGGGCGACAATTATTTGTAGAAATGAACTCAAAATAATTCTAATTTCTAAACCTAATTGGGGCATTGCCTTGAACCTGGGATGGAAATTTTCGAATGAGACCTTAAATATCTTCCGAGGCTCGAGCCTTGCAGTTTTTGGTTTAAGAAATCATGTATATAATGCTTTCTCCTTGGGTGCCCATGTCTCAAAAGGCAATTAAAAGAAAATTAAGACTAGAAACTGTATTTAAATCTTCATATTTTCATAAAATAACCGTATTTGTATGCATTGCTTTTAGCACTGATTTAGAAGACATTGAAAATTTGAAATAGCCGTTAGGCTCAATAAATTATAGCCCATATGTTTGTTTCTCTATTTATCAAATAGCATGCCTACATATATAGTATGTATATCTTCGAAATATTAGTAAGTCAACAAATTTAAAGAAATAACTATTCGGTTGATTCGGAAATCAAAGATAATTCTCGCTATGGCTGTGTTACTAAACAAAGACTTATGATAAACAATTTTCCTAAATGGCAAAAACTTTGTAAGACCATCCAACAACACCTGTTCTATGAAAAATTAAAGGTTCAAATATAAATTAAAGGAATTCAACACGATTAGAACTCTACAAAATTCGCATTGAGACAATAAATGTCACTATTGGATTATATTTTCATTGGATTATAAATTCATATACCCACCTTGCTGCTTAAAGTAGAGCTGGGAGTTCTATCCGGATTTTCCGGATATTCAAATACATATCTGCTTAAAAATTCCGAAATATTAACCGCATATCCGGATTATAAAAGAGAACGGATATTAACCGGATATGTATATTTTATGCGTATAAACGAATTTGCGAACCGACATTCAAATATAGGGATAGTCGCAGCCCTAGCTTAAAGTGAAAGAAGCCTATTAAAACGTGGTGAAATTGGCTTCGAATCAGTTAACAGTTTGTGCTCTTCGAAGCATACAAATTAATGTAATATTTATTTTAACAAATGACTAACCAATTTTGAACTAAACCTCACAGAGAAAACATTTCGTAAATAAATAAATTGCGGAGAAATAAATTATAGAAAAAGCAAACCTATTGCAATTTCTTTTCCGGTTATTTGAAGGAGCAAAACTTTGTATTATAAAAATTATTTTTTCAATTTGAGGCCATAAATAAAAAACTTCAATGAGAGAAGCAACTAAATAAAAAATCAATCTATAATTTTTTTTTCTCTGGCATTACATCTTCTACTAAGTTTCAACAGCAGTCTCCTCTACGCACAGCTGCTGACAAATTATATCACCTCAAGCGTGTTTGCCAAACATCATTTTTTTTTTTGTTCCACTTTGTAACTTTTTTCACCTTAAAACTCTACTAACTTACAGTTAAGTATCTGGTACTTGTAATAATCATAAAAATAAACGCTTATACGTGTCGTCTAAGCAAAGCGCTGTTTCTTGTGCTTAAAAAATACATACATACATAAATAGTACATTAAATATATGTATTGAGTTTTCTTAACATTTTATTAAAGTTTTTATTTCAAATGGTTCAGTTTATAATTAATTCATGAACAAAATATTTGAATCAAAAGATATGTTAAGCAAAATATATATAAAACTTCAGAATTGTTTACTAGTAGAATAGGTAAAATCAAGTTATTGATAATATAAATATGTACATGTGGAATTTAAAAAAAAATTAACGTTGGAGTTCCTGCCGCAGTTGCATGTGTAGCTTGTAGGTATTTTAACATGTTTAAAAGCTAAATAAATTTCAACTAGCATTTCTTTTACGTTTATACATATATTGTTCGTTTGTGGTATATATGTAATGTTTTTTTCTGGTTTTCATATTATAAAATTGCTACATAAATTTAAGTTAACTTTAAGATTTACATAAATATTGTGTACAGAATTTCGTTGCAATAAATTCATGAAAAGATGGAAAGAAAAAATGAGCGCAAATGAAGAGTACACAAAATTTCAACAGAGCTTCGCCGACCGTGGCAACTGAAAAATTGCCGGTATGGAAGCGCGCCTGCATCCACTAACTGAGAAATCAGCTCTGCTGGCATGCAAAAGCTTTAAATTCTACACCTAAAATACGTTGCGTTGCCGCTATCTGCCAACACTATTGCATTTTAGAGCGTAAAGGTCTCCGCTGCTGCTTGTCACACCAACTTATTCCTCAGCATTTTAGCGCCATCTTCTATACCACACGCCTTGCTTGAATTCGCCTGCTTTCTAGACCACTCCACCGCCTAACGCAGCTGCATGCGAGTTCCAAAATATTCGTCTTAAGTTATTAAAATTAATCTTCGTACTAGCAGCTAAATTTGTTTAATAATTGTAGCTACAGCGCTTGTCTCGATTTTTGCCACGCGTTATTGTGCGTGCCTTGAAGGCGGCCGCATTTAGTAAATGCTGTAATAAAAAAGTAAGTAAAAATTAGCAAAACAAAAGTCTAGCTTCTCAAAAATTGCATTCACTTACGCGTTCCAACTTTGACTGCTTGATTTTGGTGTGCCCATCATCGACGAGTTTAGCACCCAATTGAAAGATATCGCGTATGAAATCATTCTCCTGCAACTGCGATGTCATGCCAGGACCCATAACGGTGCACAGCGCCGAGTATTGATGATGTATAGCCCAGGAATCCAAGAGAAGGCACTCAGTGCCAAAACGAATGCTGATTTCAGGTGATGTATCCTCCTGCATGAAATTTAATTAAGGATTTTTAGTAACCAAACCTATGCGCTTATGTAGATGGATGTGTAAAAGTATGTATGTAAATGTATACTCTCCTTAACTCGCATGCAATGATGAAGCAATGGTGCAAAATATACAGCAATCAAATGCCAATTTCTTAGCCATACAAAATTTCTCAGTTCACTCAGTGTCGAACCAATGCACTATTTTAAGTGCTCATAAAAAACAAACAGCCAACCACACATGCCACGCTTTCTCTTCACTTATTCACCACACACAAAATACAATTTCTTGAAAAAAAAAAAACAAAATCTGAGTCGCAAAATGAGATTTTTGTCATTCAATATTTTTTTGCTTTCATGTTAATCAAAATCATAAAAAGGTTATAAAAAACAATTTATTTTCTCTCCGGTTTCCAACAAAAATTTCTTGTTCTATTAAATACAATATAAATTATAGAAAATTGCAAAAATTTTCGTCCAAAAATTTAAGGTGAACGCGTTGTTGATAAACCATTAAAAAAAATTTTGCAAAATGCTTGTCACCACCTACCAACACGACTATGTGCCTCCCCACACTAGGCGTTATGAATTCGTTAAGAAACAAGATAAAGCGATAAAGGAGAAAGAGGAATGCCAATGTATTGATACAGCTAAAATTGAGGTGCCAAAAGAAGCACAGGGAAAATGTGAAAGCGGTGCCGAATGGACGGGTATCGCGCCAATGGGCCGCCTCATCGACCCACGCATCATACCCACAAAACTCGCGCCCGATCAAGCTGATAACCTTGCAAAAGATCCGGATACTGACTGCTTCAAAGCGCAACCTAATCGTTTTTTGCAGATCCTACGCACCGCGTATCCAGACCTCTATGATCGACTGAAACAGATGCCCAAAGATGAATTGAATAGGCGGCTGGAGCGCCAACGACTTTTCACCACATATCAAATTGATTATTGCGACATGAATGAATATCCCGAGGGTATCTATGAGAGTCTCAAAGAGGAGGACGATACAGCTAAGCTCAATGCCACAAAATTGTTGCATAAGGAGGACGCTTGCGATGTGTTCCGCGCTAATGTCATGAAGGAATTAGATAACCAAACGCGCAATCCTACCATTACAGATCCATGTGAGCATGCGTACAAACCATTCAAGATCTCCTTCACCGACAGTGCACGATTCATCAATAGTGGCAACAACTCACACTGGCGCAGTAAAGCTTTCGTTACACGCAACAATTTCTCCGAGTATATGGAAACAATTAGCCGTAATGGCTGTGTTATACTAAAAAATAATTTACATGATCATAGCAAATGTGGTACTAACGGGAAACATTGTCGTCATCAGCTGCTGAATGCGTGCATAAATAATGTACGATAGGCTGGATAATGATTCAATAATAAAAGGTCCCTTAGGAAGGCATTGTGTGTGCGTTCGTGAGTGTGTGCAAAGCTTTTGTAAGGGAGTTAAGGAAGTGTCAAAATTCGAATGTCGCTAGTGAGCAAACCTTGAATTATTGAATCATGAGGCCGGATGGGGTTACGGATTGGGAAAGTTTATTTAAATTTGTTATTTTTGTTAGTATCAAATGTTGCCAGTGAAAATAGTTTAGATTGTAGTTAAGTACTCGGAGCATAATATATTCGTTTGCGAATTTGAATTTTACACGCTAGTATGTTTGTAAATTGCTATCAAATTTTTAACACTACTCGGAGCAATTGTTATGGCACAAAATATATTCTAGTAATTAATTTTAATCTTTCAATACTAATCATGCTAAAAAGTAAAATTATAATCTAGCCTTGAGAAAAGGAATAATTTTAAACGTAAATAAATTTATAGTAATAATTTTTCCGTCATCAAGCATTTGTAATTAAGAATTAACAATAATATTACTATACAGAAATCGATAAAAGATATATTATAAAATATTTATAAGTGCGTTTAAGTTATAATATACATCTGAGTGTCATGGTAAATTACGTTTTTTTTTCTACAATGCAATTTTTGACTGATTCCTGCCGAATGTCGTAAACTCAAAAAGGGATTTCGAATTGAATTTTATTTGATCACGAAAGCCGTTAATTGGGTCACTCCAGCAACACTCCCCGAAACTCTCTGGGGAATTTGTATGCCGTTACAACAACAACAGCAATAAGACCTAAACCTATTCTACTTTATATAAATTTCTTTCTACATATATTTATTAACAACTTAAATAAAAGTTCTGCATCCACCAAGTTCTTCATCCATAATATGGATTCCATATATATATTACAAAATAACGAAAAATAACGAACGAACTAATTATTTTAACGCTAACGACTCACAGATGGCGGGAAAACACAGAGTTGTATCAGATTTTGGACGTGGTTTTGAGCATAGGTTTTGAGTTGGTTTTTTTTTTAACCATCGAGTGAAATGGTTATGTGCTGTAATTTTAATATGCCGGAACCACGCTAAATCAAATGAGTTTTCGAGATAACCAACTCAACATCCATAACTACGGGGTTAAGCTGCATGGGCACATAGTATAATAACCATCTCTGTGAAATGGTTAAGTGCTGTCAGTTTTATAAATATGGCGAAACCACGCTAAATCAAGTGGGTTATCGGGATAACCGATAACCAACGCAACAGCCATAACTGCGTAGTTAAGCTCCGGTGGGGACATAATATTATAATTCTTCTTATATTTTGCAATAACAATAAAGTGCACAGTATCCCAGTTATTCGATTTCCTAAACCATCACTTCCTTGTGTAAATTTTAGTAGATAGGTACTTCATACTTTCAACACTGAATGCTTTGCATGAAATAAATAAAAACATTCACTTACCTCCAAATAATGCAGCACATCACGGAATGTGGCGCGTTGAGCCTTGCGATCACGCTTAGCGCGATATTTATGTGAGTCAGTAGCCAGCTGTTTAACAGCATCAATTAAAGCACCCAAATACTCTTCCAAAAAGTCTTTATCATGTGCACGACCACTTTCGAGTATCAGTGCTAACGTTTCGCCAGCAGCTATGCGCACATCCAAGTGTGGCGATTGCAATAAACCCATCAATTTTTTTACCGAACTGTAAAAACGAAAATATTTTTGAAATAAATAAATGTAGTAACTGTGAAATGAAACGGTTTTACTCACGGCAACATGGGCTGACCATTGGTCATGAGTGACACGAAATCACCCGATGGTATGAGCGTCAAAAGCAAACCCCAAGCGGATAATGCTTCAGCATGCAGTGCGCCAGCTTCGGCATTCACCGAAACCGGTGATTTTTCATCGCCACGCAAGTAGCTGCCGCTAAAAATGCCTTCGAAAAATTGCATCAAAGTAATGAGATCGCCAATATCTTCGCCACCGAGGAAGTTGAGCAGTCCCAATGCAGTGCAACACTTGGCGCGTGCATCAAACGAAACAGCCTTATCCTGTACGGTAGTGAGCAAACATTGATTCAATTCCTTAGAGATCTCAACATCTCCGCCCAGTTGTAGCACCACCAAAGGTGCGAGGCGTGCGGCGTTCGACTGCTCGGCGCCCTTGCCACGGCGTATCGACTTTTCAATGCAATCAATTAGCGTTACCTTACGATCGTCAACGAAATCAGGCATATAACGATGCATTAAAATTTCACAGATATTCTGCAAAGCTTGAGTGCGTGTCTGTGCTGACTTCTCAGTGGCATTTTCGAGCGCTTGCATAAATTTCTCTTCGAAACGTTCATTTGATGACATCTCATCCATGTCGTTTACGGATGAGGGTGCATTATCCGAAGCGAAAGAATACACGCTGGCATTATCGTTAAATGACTCATCCTCAGAGTTGGAGTCACCGCTGCGGCCTGTGGGCGGAAAAGAACAATAAAAAACAATTTAATTAATGATAATTCACTAGGTAAAATATTCACTAAACTAAATGCTACTAGTCCTAAAAAGGGTGAAACCCTTCAACGAAATCTGGACCGGAATCACGGCATCCGTGATCGAATGGAACTCGCTGCTAAATTTCGATAACGAGGCATTGGGCCGTATGAATAAAAATTAAGCAATTGCTTTTTCTTAAAATTTCAGACCTTTTTTAAGAAAAAGCAATTGTTTAGTTTTATTCATACGACCAATTTTTTTTTTAAATAAATTTGGTTGTAGAAAAAAACAGCTGTAGTTTTAATGCATTCGATTCGAAAGAAGCTTTGTGATCAGATGTGATGACTGGTATGTCAAATGGGCCCTAGTCGTGGCATTCGCGATCGAATGATTCTTCGTTTTGAATAAAATTACAGCTGTTTTATGTTCAGTATAATTTAAATTGAATAATAAAGCAAGATTTATAGCCAGTTTCACGAAGACAATTGTAAGTAAGTGAAAAATAATCTTTTTATTAAAATTCAATATGAAAACCAACAAAAGGGAAAAAAATCATTCATCGTAGTTGATGAAACCGCCGGTTAGAGATCAGCTTGGTAAAGTTTGTTCATTGGTTTCTTTTGTAACGGTACTACTAGACCTGCATAAATCAGAGAAGGCAAATGAGGAGGTGATTGGTGTCGTGTTTGGTGCCTTCCACGTCGGGATCGAGTCGGAATAAGTAGGGAGTGACAGTCCTTGGCCAGATATAAGTCTGGGTCGTTCCGGTTACGTAGACCCGACTGTCGTGGGAACGAAGCCTGCTGAAGTATTTATACATTGTTTACGTCAGAACTCCGATGGCCGCATTTACGGAGCAATAGTTTGTATAGGTAGTGATTGTCTCTCAGTGAATGTCGTTTATGGCTTGTCTCTACAACGGCAGGTCCACCGGGTTTTATCCGACCAAGAGCTAGTTTGTTCACGATGGGCATAGGATTGGAAAAGGGCGAAAGAGGCCCAATTTAAGTCAAAATCTTCAAACCCACCAATCCGTGATAAAGAACGTCTGTCCTGCTAGCGGACCCATTTTTCCAAATACTAATAAAAATTATTGAGAAATTGGGTGCTTGACATCATGCTCCTGACCCTTAAAAAATTCTTGCGGATTTCTCATAAGACTTGTAAGAACATGAATCAATTCTGGAGGACCTAAAGAGCATCTAATTGCTTTATAATGTTTGTCAGGGTTCGACGAAATTTTAGTGGGTGGGTAAGCTAAAGTGACGACATCACGTTTCTCGGAAACTAGGTGAGCGCCTAAATTAAAATATCGCATAATTTCTCAATAACTTTTAACGGTATTTGGAAAAGTGGGTTAGCTAGCGTGATGGACGTTGATTAATTAGATATGACTGGAATTTAATATTCTCTTCTTCTTCCCTGGATATATCATTCAAGAAAAATTTCCTCAACATTAATTGCGTCCTAGTTTTGGTTATTTATCGAAAAGCAACTTATTTACTAGCGAATTTGATTTTAATTTTAGAAAGTATGCTCTTCTTTAGCATGTTCTGTTGAAACAAGTTCAATAGTGACAATAGCAAATGTCATAGGCATTACGTCATGAAAATGCATATTACATACAAGATACACGGAATCTGATTTTATATTGAACTCTAAACAACCCCATATAGCAACAAAAAAACGTTTCACACCCACGAAAAATATGCTTTTTTGAAAAACATGTCAGATCATCTTATCATATACACAGTTACAACAAAGAAAAATTCACACATACATCACAAAACAAAAAAAAGGCAAGTTTGTAAACTGGGTAGGACGCACAAATGAGTAGAATACTCGATAGTATTCAAAAGTATACAAAATAATAATAGTAGAAGCGAGGAAGCTAGGTGAATTTTTATGAATGAATCACCAACGCCCACATGAGTGTATATGAAACTTATGGTAGATAGACGTGTACATCAGTGATCGGACTTAAAAAAAAAAAATTTTGTGTGGTAGAATCTGGAAAAAAAAATGTGGTAGATTTCAAAAAAATGTGGTAGATGTCAGGTTTTGGATCAAACTTTGTACAAAAATTAAAAATATTCTGCAAGGTTTCGCCTAAATTGCAAACATTTTAATTAGAATCTAAAAAAAATTTATTATAGTATAATAAAGTGCAAGATTGAAGTTGCTGAAAATTGCGTCGAGTTTTAGCAATTTTTTTCCTTGAAAGTGCAAAGCAGTTCCTTCCATATCAAGTTTTTTTTCGAGCATATTTCGAAAGATTTCTGCAACCTTGCGGAGTGCTGCCAGCTGTCCTTTTTATCACATCACGATGCAGCGAACAAATGTGGCACGTTCCAGAAACCGCTACTTGGGATTTGCCGATTTTGAAAATTCTCAAGTAAAAGTAAAGAACGCTTTAGAAACTTTAGATGCACTGAAATTGGCTAATACTTTCACAAAAATCGCCGTTTTTTACCATTTTCGCTATTAATTCTTTTTATAAATCATATATTT